TGTCCCAAAACAACTTAAATGTGAGTTCATCTCCGTTCAAGCTTAACTATGATATCTATCGTGTAAGCTACTTGCGCCTTCTACTAATATATGCTTATTCATAACATTCAGGTGAGCTTTACATCTGCTATTATCAGGCACTCATTGAACTATTGGGAAAATTTTTCCATAGTGAAGTGAGTGGCCAATCTTTTTCGCATAATAATTACGTACTCTCCAAAGTAGGTTATAAACTCATTGACTTGGGTTTCTGATCCTTGTAGTTCTTTCCTCGAGTCCATGAAGATATGTCTCAACAGCACAAGTCACTTATCTTGTTGACCAAAGTGAACTCGTGCTCCCGCCAATCCACATCAATAGATGCTAATATCCAGGCAGTGGCCTTGAAACCTCTGACCTGACCAAAGTACACGTTTACCACTTACACCACAAACACATGATTCTTAGTTCATTATCGTCTATTTAATAAGTCAATTTAAGTTGCATGTCGATACTCTACATATATTTCCTTTATTGATTCTTATTAGCTATAATCTCATGTATTTGGTTCCTGTGCGTGTGCCGCATTCATTAAACCTGCTTCACCAACTGCTTTCTTTATACTCCAAACCCTAGAAATTGTGAAACATTTGTTTTCCAGCTATTTTCGATGCCAGTTTGGGTTTTTAAACACTCTAAAGCTTTGTCTTTTGACTTACTTTCTCCTCTACGGTCTCCATAAATTAGTCTTTCAAATCTTTTTGATGCATGCGGTAAATCGCATGATAGGAATCTATGAATTAGAGGAAAGAAGGAATAATTAAAGTCGCAGCGATGAAAGAAGAGCGATAAAACTTAGCAAAAAAAAACAAAGTTAGTCGCATTTCTGTTATTTCATTAATTATTCACCATTGCCGACTCAATAGTCAATATTGACTAAAGGTACTCCCCCCCCCTCCCCCTCCACTCAACCGTTTTTTCTAAGATGGTGACCACAAAGTCGCAAATAAACAAAGAGACTATACTATCAATTCGAGTTGAGTCAGTTCTGTGCACCTTTATGAAACCAGATGAACCAGTGTTCAAAGTACTTACATTAAGTGAATAATGATGTCTGAACTTTAGACGTCAAAGGTACTCTATCTAGTTCAAGTGAACAATTTTAAGATAACGCCTTCATTAATGTCCCCCCTTTTCGTACTTTTAAAGTAAGCTAATAGCCCAATTCGAAATAAGCGAGCGTGCGCATTCGAGCGTCATTCAAATTTTATTAAATAAATTTGATGCCAATGAAAAATTAGGATGTTAAAAAAAACCTATCTAATCCAACTTGCTCATTTATTTACCTTAGTGGTTTGAGTTGAAATTAATCACTATGACATAATGGACAACGTTTAACATTCTTTAAGCGTGTCTTTCACCACAGACCCTGCTCTTTAATTTTCCTGATTCAAGATCTCCGAGATTCTCTTAAGTGCGTGCAATTCTCCAATCATTTGCAATGTAAGTTATTTAGCGTCTTCTGATGTCCTTCATTTTGGGGAATCCCTTTAAGTTATTATGTTGTATACGATAACAATTCTGGGCATATCAAAGACACTTCATTATTTCAAATTTCATTTGTTTTTAGTTTTCTGACCATCTATTATACTTGTGGAAGGAATGTTTTCAATGAAAATGCTTATTTCAGGCAATTGAACAATAAGTATCCATCAAATTCGAATTTATGCTAATAGAATGCCATTAACGATTCAGCGTTCATTAATCCACATTTGAAAAAAAGGAGTGCGATTTTATTTGTGGACATTTTAGGTTCATAATTTGCTTATACACCAAGGACAGTATTCAACGTGCACGCCTCTAACACGCCAGTTGTCGAAATGCATCGGCAACATTCGCGGGTCATTCATGTTGATGAATATATGTATATATTTGATTACTAAAGTTTTCATTTGTTTTTATTCTTCACTTTAATCAAGATCTCTTCATGCTCCGATGAGTCACGGGTCCTAACCACAAACTGTCGTAGCGTAATTCAATCCAATTGCATATCTTCGTGTTGCGGGGCTAGCGAACTAAGCAGGTGTGTGCCTGAGACCATGTATCTTCAAATTACCCCAAGAAGTGAATTTGCACCGCAAACGTTGGTTCGGTTTCGATAACCAGGTTAAGCAAATATTCTCCGATTGGGGGGGGGGGGGGGGGGGGGGGGGGGGGGGCTGGTGAAGTGAGAGGAGAACAAAAACACAAAATCCTGTTAGTTGCTGCCGCTGATATTTGAACTGCGTGTATTTTCACATGTTGATAGAAATGTGCGTATGTGTGTGTGTGCAATTTAATCACAAAATGAAAAAATAACATTTAAATTAAACGCCCAGTCAGCTAGAGTTGTTAGTATAAGGTTCGCCGTCAAAATCCCAAACAAATTAATCTCCTTTCGAAGCATGTATTCTCCATCCCCAAATGGATAAACCCCATTAATAAAGAAAAAAGAATTTATTGCTCTTAGGACAGCTTTAGTGTGGATTGCAAATATAGTCCAGTTATTGCAATGCCATAACCCATAGAACGCGGAATTATATACGAAATTTGACAGAATTATTGGTTTACATGATTTTGAAACTAAGCAGCTTGTAAATTTGTGAAGAATTTTATAGGATTTCAATGTATCGAAATTAATATAGCTCCTCACTAACGTCTCACCAGCATTCACCAACAGCAGACTCTGTAAACTCTGAAAGCAGTCATGACGTCACCTTTAGTAAGTCTAATGTGATTAAGAATGCGCGGAAATTCATGTGACAGTTAGTTCTTAAAAATTAACTTCTGTTATGTTTCTTACCCGCTTTAAAAGTACATCGCCGATCGGGTACTTTGGTTATTAAGGGGAACGCCTAAATATTAAAGATATTAGGCTTCTAATCGCGACAAATCCAAGTTTCAAGACTGAAATTGTATTTTGCTTTCCCGCTTTTATCATCTTTTGGCTTAGGTAAAATCATATTTTAAGCGGAGTAAGGAAGTCGTGACAAGAGGTTAGTCGTGGGTAAACTATTATCGGTAAATCGATAATCGCACCTGGATGCAAATTAACATTATTATTATACCTTAGAGATATGAAAAGTTACTTGAAATTTTCCCTCCATGAATTGAATACTTATTTCAAGTTTTCCTTCCCATTTATTGAAAATTAATTAGCGACTTTATGCCTATATTAACGAACTGAGCTTTAGTTTACTTCCCAAATATACAAATTGTTAAACTATTATAGATTTACCCATATATTGACGATAATCATGCTTTGGATTCCACTGACCGAAATATTTGATTGAGAATGGTAAAAAGGCTTATTTTGATCTTCATGAGATCAGGAAAATGAACGTCTTAGGCTCTATCTATATTTACATCATTAATTACATGCTTTTGGACTCAGACTGCCTATTCTGTCAATCGATCTTTGAGTTTTTCTTAGCATAGATAGCAAACAAGAAATTGAGCATTTTTCAAACAGATTTTTGGGTTCAATTTGTGCCCAGACACAGTGAAGGAAGCAACTCTGTAAGTTCTCATCCCATAGTCAACAAATTGTTCAGGATTATTTCCTGGAAATAAACTTCATTTTTGTTCTTAAAGGTGGAAAGTCCGACTCCAAATTAGACACGGAACACTTCAGTAAACGTTGCATGTTAATTTTCTTCCATCAGTTCCTGAGGGCCTGCAAGGCTACTAAAGCCATTTTAGAAATGTGTGATCAATTGCTGACTGTCCTCTGATGACAATTGTTGTTTTAAAGGTTGAAATCAGGACAGACTGTAAATTTCGTCGATGATGTATTAATACCTCTGTTTCAATTAGTTATTGCGTTAACTATAGTTGAGTTACTGCAAAACTCGCATGTTCATGGGTGACTTCACAATAGCACATGAAGCTCATCAGTAAATTGAATTAGATGATAATTTGAGTGCCAGCGCACCAACACTCCCAGCATAATAAAGATGAGTGAAGAAATGTGTGTGTGTTTCCTTGTTGTTTGCTTGTTTGGTTACCTTAGCCACGCTACATAAAGGTCACATAAGATTCTTGACAAGTTTTAAAAGTATTCAACGTTTTAAACATTTTAGCTATTGGAGACTAGATAAATTGATGGAGCTGGATCGATCACCATGGATAAAAGACAATTTAGTAAGACCTAGACAGTGTAAGCGGGCATTGTTACAATTCAGGAGCCGAAATATGATAGTTGAGTTTTGAAACATAAGCAAGCCATTTAGGAAATACTGTAAAAATGAAGAAAGATTTTGATGTCTTGACGTTGCTCTAGAATCCGATCCAATATCAAGTAATGATCCTGCGTTTTCCAATTTCCCGCGATATACTTCAATGACATGTTGTGGAAATTTTGCCATGCTGTGAGTTATAAAATTAAAGCAATATGGCAAACGTCTCCTTCACAAAGGTCATCCATAGTCCTTCGTAAATTAAAAAATTTTGACAATGAATATATTATGGCTCTTTGGGCAGTAATTTGCCTGACGGACAATGATCAATATACCACAAATATCTCTTCTACTGAGTTAAAACACATGCAAATAGATTCGTTTTAATCCGCTTAATATTATTCTTAAGAATACTTTGCCCTCTTTTTTAACTGAGTGCTCCAATATACATATATCAGATCTTCCGTTATGACCTAATTAGGAGAAATTAAGAAAATATAGCATCTACGATAGATATATCTCATCTGATGCCATCCCCAATTAATAAGTGTTATTAAGAAAGAGAGAAACTGTAAAAATTTCTACCCTTCCAATTCGCAGTAAATTGACGAAAAATATGCACACACACGCTCGCACAAATGCGCTTATTATCAGCCAATCACAGGCCACGTTAAGAGCGATGTACGCTCATTAATGAACCAATCGGCGTAATAATGCACCCCACTCTTCAGAGGATGGTAAAAATAGTCATAAATCTACAAGTCTGTATCTAGCAAACTCATAGTCGAATTTATCACTTCAGAAATGACTGCTTCTCAAAGATATGTTCGAACCAATGGTAATAAGTGTCCTTGTATTGGTTATATTAACCCTGAAGCATTAGAAGATGTAAGTTGCTTGTATGCTAAATTTTATTCATTTATATTTGTTTGTGTAAGAGAGTAGATAGAATTAACTGAAGGCTGTGAGGTAATTACATATACATTATTTATTTGAATTAACTAATGCATCATCACCTTCGAATATCTCTCTCATAATCGACTTTGGCCATCGATTTGTACAAATAAAAAGGCGATATCATTGCCCATGTATCTGAAATGATGGTACTACTATGAGGAATTGACAGTAGTTGCAAAACTTTGGGATTCTACTGAACGATGGATAAAGGTAAAAAGTCAGATTACGGTCTTGATACCAAAACTTATTTACAAATTCATTTGTAGCTAGGATCTCTGCTTCGATTAAACTCCATTCCAAAAAGATTTGGTTAGAGTTTAAGTTTCAATGTAGGCTGGTGAAAACTGCTGAGATACTGCTTTATTATCGTTGGCTTGCTTTCATTTTACGTTTTATTCTCAAGTCCAGAATTGTCTGAATGCAGATGATAACATAAACTTTGTTAACAAACTTTCTTCCCTAATCTTTAATAGCCTAAATTACACGGCAGAATTGATTGTACAATCTTTCCTTCATTAAATGGGCTTTTGTATTACTTATAGCCAGACCTCGCAAAACCTGATCCACTGGCTGAGCTTGTCAAAAGTTATGATAGATTAAAAAAGGAGTTGGAACAGGCCAAATTCTCGAATGTTCTCCAGGATATCGTATGTGAACCTGCAAATTCTTTAACAAGTGCGGTTCCGGGTCAAAAGCGGCAAGCAGACGCTTCCAATCTGCAACATTCTATCTCAACTATGAAGCTTCGCAAAACTCACCTGAGGTCCAATTTCATGCCTCTTCAATCATTTCCACCCCTCCTTCCCCCTCCTCAAACAGAACCTGTGAATTTGAGCAATAAGTCAGCAATTGAAGATCAACCTACGCGAGCACTACCTTCCATTACTCCACCCAGTCCAATCGGTTCACCGATTTCCACGGCCAATATGCTGGCTCAACTTCTGATTCTCAGTGGAATGTTCCCCCACCTTCTAAAATTGAATCCTCAAGTTCGTTCTTCACCACCCTCCTCTTCTACTAGTCCTTTGACTCCCATCGGTTCACTATTTTCGTGCTATAAGCCGATTCAAGCAAGCTTTTACCCATGAGTTTTGTAAGGGAAGCAGGATTTTGACAATCACGACTATAAATGTATACACATAATTCTATTTTAACCACTTATTAAGAAGCACCGTTCTAGGATTTGTACATAAATTTTGACTTTTTAATTTGTGAATTTGGGGATGAGTGAAACGATGCGAGGCTTTGTGACTGTGACTTAAATGTTTGTGCGCCTATGATTTTGTAAAAGGTAAACAGAAAGTCCAAAATCCATTCACTTAGGAATTTTTTAAAGCTTAATATAAGCACCCTGAGAATTGTTCAGATGACCTGTGTTGCTTTATCGACGTCTAATACTTGATTGGCACTAAACTGTTTAGTGCTTGTTTGCTTGAGAAACTTAATGCACTTGTTCGGAAAATCAAATGCTTCTCATCTAGCACCGTGTATTTATTAAAGCTAAGCCAAAATAGGCCTCTCTCAATTTCCTTTTTGTGGGATCGTTTTAAGTGGGGGGGGGGGGGCTCGACTGTCCACTTATTAGATGGTTGATCTGGAACTGTCCAAATATCTTCACTTGATTGAATGTTTAGGAATGTGCAAAAATTAGCGGAATGCGGACTATTGAAAGAGGGGGAGAACGCTTTATTGGATGGAAAATTACTAATAATAACTGTGGTGGCTAGAAATAACCTTTCCAGACTTCCTTTGTCTCCTTCATGTTCTCCTTGAGATGCATCCCGACCAACTTCCCCTGTTTGTTACTACGTATGATGACCCATAACTTCAGCTAATGCTATTGTGTGTAAACCCATGATTAATCATCAGTAAGTGGTTATTAGTTTCACGATAGTCGTGTTTCGCCCTTAAAGTAGTAAGCTCCTCTTCTGGCTTTCTTCTCCCATTGCAACGAACACTTAGAGCAATATTAAGATGTTTTGACGGTGACGAAGCACTAATAGGCACATGAATTTTCATACTATGGCCAATCTGAACTCAAT